TCCAGCATTTTGGGAGGCTGAGGTGGGCGGATCACCTGAGGTCAGGAGTTTGAAACCAGCCTGGCCAACATGGCGAAACCCTGTCTCCACTAAAAGTACAAAAATTAGCCAGGCGTGGTGGCGGGCGCCTATAATCCTAGCTACTCAGGAGGCTAAGGCAGGAGAATCGCATGAACCCAGGAAACAGAGGTTGCAGTGAGCCGAGATGGCGCCACTGCACTCCAGCTCAGGTGACAAGAGCGAGACTCCGTCTCAAAAAAACAAAACAAAACAAAACACCCAAATCAATCAGGAATGTCCCATATTTACAAAAAAGAACAGACATACTCACATTTAGCAAAAACTTATTTGCCCATTAATACTAAAATCAAACATGCAGATTTTCTCCTATTTTCTGTGCAGCTGTCAAGTTACAAAACTGCTATTATCACAACTATAGAAAGCCAATTCTAGTTTAGAAATAGTAATAAAACAGCACTTCAACAAGAGTGGACCAAGAAAAGTGCACAACTTAAAAAATTTAAAAAGTGCTTCCTATAAAAATGATTCCCTTTAAGACATTTGTTCACTGTATACATTTTAAAGTCCCCTCTCCCACCCCCCAACAAAAATAGAGGCAGAACCTCTAAGCACTTTCTAACAAAGTGTCCCCTGGTTTGTTCCTCTGACAAACCCTGACTGAAGGCTCATGATGTGCAGGCACTGGGGTCTCAAAGAGGACGAAGACTTGTCCCTGCCTCAAGGATGCCTCAGTCTTCCCAAAACAGGAGGCAGACAAGTCACCAACCATTATGGATGTAGAATGGATGTATTATACATCCATTAAAAGCAGATGCCACTGCCTTCTTAAAATTAAACGATATGCTGCAATTCCCACTGAATTACTTATACAAACCTCCTTACACACAAGCTGTCCTGACTTAATAGGAGGCAAAAATGCCACCACCTTCTCCTGATAAATACTTCTCTAATAGGCAGGCATTAAATTACATTTTGTGATGTTTGCCCCTAAACATCACAATGCCTAGTTAAGTCAGTCAACCTTCTTTTAAGCAATGGTGCCTATTTTACTCTGAGAATGAGACACTTTGAAACTGAGTAAGGAAGCAGTCCTGTATGTAGATCAAGACTCATCAGTACCATCAAAAGCTGAGATGAAAGAGTGTACGTTTCAACAGAAATCTTCAATCTCCCATCCGTTGATTTGCAATGTGCTCCTGCGTCAGCCGCTCCAGGTCTTTCTGCACATTTGGGTGGTCTTCCAGATCTTCGTAGAGCGACCTGACAATGTCCAGTCTCCTGTAATTCTCAGGCTTGACTAGGCTCCGGACAACTTGGAGGCATCGTTCTTTCAGAGTATACACTGGAAGGGCAAAAACCAAATCCTCAGTGGCAGACTAGGGTCTCAGTACAACAAATGAGCAAGAGGCTTTGCCAACAGCTACCTTTACTACTGATGGATCTCACTTTAGGTTAAAGAAAAAAAGTGAGTGCATGTATGTGGCAGTGTGTTATACTGATGGCCCCCTATGGACACCTCATGGTAATAATTTCACCTTGAAATGGGCTGGGCTTGTGACTGCTTTAACTAACTGAATGTGGATGAAGCAACACTGCAATTCTGGGTCGAAGCCTTAAAAAGACCTGTCGACTTCTGCTTTTATTCTTTTGAAAGCCCTGAGCCACCGTGCTAGAGAGACCACATAAAGAGGAACAGACCCTGGCCAGGCATGGTGGTTCATGCCTGTGATCCCAGCACTTTGGGAGGCTGACGTGAGTAGGTCGCCTAAGCTCAGGAGTTCGAGACCAGCCTGGGCAACATGGCAAAACTCTGTCCCTATAAAATATACAAAAAATTAGCCAGGCATGGTGGCACGTGCCTATGGTCCCAGCGACTGGGGAGGCTGAGGTGGGAGGAGGATCATTTGAGCCCTGGAGACAGAGGTTGCAGTGAGCTGAGATCATGCCACTGCACTCCAACCTGGGTGACAGAGTGAGAACCCATCTCGGAAAAAAAGAAAAATGAAAAAAAAAAAAAGAGGGACAGGTCCAGCCCTGAGCTGCCAGCAAAAGACAGCCATACCAACGACTACCACCAGCAGAGTAACCGCCTAGCTGAGCCCAGCCTGGACTACAGAATTATGAACAAAATAAAATGGTGGGCCAGGTGCGGTGGCTCACACCTGTAATCCTAGCACTTTAGGAGGCTGAGACAGGCAGGTTGCCTGAGCTCAGGAGTTCAAGACCAGCCTGGTCAACATGGCGAAACCCCAGTCTCCACTAAAATGCAAACAATTAGCCAGGCTTGGTGGTGCACACCTGTAGTCCCAGCTGCTGAAGTAGGAGAATCGCTTGAACCCAAGAGGCAGAGGTTGCAGTGAGCCAAGATCATACACCACTGCACTCCAGCCTGGGTGACACAGTGAGACTCTGTCTCCCCCCGCCCACAAAAAAAAAAAAAAAAAGGGGGTTTTTGGGGTGGTAGTCACAAAACACATAACCAAAACAATGTGTACTTCGAAAATCTAGTACAACTGAATTGGGTATCCCAATTCCTATTTTACACTCACTGGAAACGTACTCCTTAAGGGTATTCTATAAGGCAAATTTACCAAATTTAACTCAGCAATGCTCATTTTTATATATCTACTTCCTTAAACAGAATCTATGCACATGTATTAGTTTGAATCCTATGAAACCCATGTATTTGGGGGGCTTTGTGGGTTGTTTTTCTGTTTGTTTGTTTTCTTTTTTGAGACAGGGTCTCACTCTGTCACCTGGGCTGGAGTGCAGTGGTGTGATCATGGCTCACTGCAGCCTCGAACTCCTGGGTTCAAGGGATCCTCCCACCTCAGCCTCCCAAATCGCTGCGACTACAGGCACATGCTAAGACAGCCAGGTAATTTAAAAAAATTTTTTTTGTAGAGCTGGGGTCTCACTTTGTTGTCCAGGCTGGTCAAGAACTCCTGACCTCAAGCGACCCTCCCGCCACAGCCTCCCTAAGTGCTGGAATTACAGGCATGATTATAGGCATGAGCCACCATGCATTGCTGGTCTTTAGTGAGTTTTTTTACCCACAGGAACATCAGTTTATTAGGGTTTACCCTGATAAAATCATTTGAGCTTCAAACAAATAGTGAAGTATTATACCAATCTTCAATGATTAAAAAAAAAAAAACAAAAAAAAACAGGCCAGACGCGGTGGCTCATGCCTATAATTCCAGCACTTTGGGAGGCTGAGGTGGGCGGATTACCTGAGGTCAGGAGTTCAAGATCAGCCTGGCCAACATGGTGAAACCACATCTCTACTAAAAATACAAAAATTAGCCAGGTGTGGTGGCAGGCGCCTATAACCCCAGCTACCCAGGAGGCTGAGGCAGGAGAATCACTTGTACCTGGGATGCAGAGGCTGCAGTGAGCTGAAATCACACCACTGCACTCCAGCCTGGATGGCACTGTGAGACTCTCTAAAAATAAAAACAAAAATAAATATACCTCTGATTGGCACTGTGAGCTTGATTGTGTTAAATTAAAAATACATAGGCCAGGCGCAGTGGCTCACGCCTGTAATCCCAACACTTTGGGAAGCCAAGGCGGGTGGATCACGAGGTCAGGAGAATGAGACCATCCTGGCTAACACGGTGAAACCCCATCTCTACTAAAAAATACAAAAAAAATTAGCCAGGCACGGGGGCGGCCGCCTGTAGTCCCAGCTACCGGGGAGGCTGGGGGAGGAGAATGGCATGAACCCAGGAAGCGGAGCTTGCAGTGAGCCAACATCATGCCACTGCGCTCCAGCGTGGGCAACAGAGGGAGACTCCTCTGTCTCAAATAAATAAATAAATAAAAATAAAAATAAAAATACATAGGCCGGGTGCTGCAGCTGACACCTGTAAATCCCAGCACTTTGGGAGGCTGAGGCAGGCAGATCATGAGGTCAGGAGATGGAGACCATCCTGCTAACATGGTGAAACCCTGTCTCTACTAAAAATACAAAAAATTAGCGGGGTGGGTGGCACACGCCGTAGTCCCAGCTACTCAGGAGGTTGAGACAGAGAATCGCTAACCCAGTAGGCAGAGGTTGTAGTGAGCCAAGACTGCGCCACTGTACTCCACCCTGGCCAACACAACGAGATTCCATCTGAAAAAAATAAAAAAAATTAGAAGTCAACAAGAAATAAGCCAAAATATCTCATGCTCTACACATTGTTCTCCTGGAGCTCCAGGGCACAATTCGGCCAGGGAAACAAAAGGCATTCATAATTTTACAATTCTACAAAACTAATCTATGATGTGATACTTTAATTTTGCTTGTCTCTTAAGAGCCCAAAGTGCTTCTGAGACACCATAACATCTTTAACACAAAACATACAAATACATCAGTTCCATTTTATTTATGGTAGAGAATAGGATACAAAAAGATTGGATACCTTGCCTGACATCAGGCAAAAATTAAGGACTGGGCTTAATTTTTCAAGTGGCCTATCCACAACAAACAACCTTATCTTTTTAAAAAGTAAAACTGAACATCAGTACCTGGCAGTGTGATATTGGCAAAAATAGGCTGTCCGTCAACATTGAGAGATGGCACAAATAATTCAGTTTGGTTAACCAGAAGCCCATCGTGTGTCCCTGCATCTCTGAAGAGCCAAAGGTGACCTATCAGGACAAGCAAAGGTTGTTAAAGAGCCACACTGGTGGCTGGGCGCGGTGGCTCACACCTGTAATCCCAGCACTTTGGGAGGCCGAGGTGGGCGGATCACGAGGTCAGGAGATCGAGACCGTCCTGGCTAACGCGGTGAAACCTCGTCTCTATTAAAAATACAAAAAAATTAGCCGGGTGTGGTAGCGAGTGCCTGTAGCCCCAGTTACTCGGGAGGCTGAGGCAGGAGAATGGTGTGAACCAGGGAGGTGGAGCTTGCAATGAGCTGAGATCATGCCACTGCCCTCCAGCCTGGGCAACAGAGCAAGACTCCATCTCCAAAAAAAAAAAAAAAGAGCCACACTGGTCGAAGTCAGGGCACCTATTTTCTCCATTTCCCCTGACCTACACAAAAAGCTAAAAAGCTTGCCTCTCACTCTGCTTAAATATCATACAAAGCCCTCCTAGTAACATTAACTCAGTCAGTCCTCACAACAGATCCATTTATAGATGAGAAAACAGGTCTGAGAGGGCAAGTGACATGCTCAAGGTATAAGACGGTAAGCAAAGAGCACATACTTGAAGCTCCTGTAATCCCAGCTACTCGGGAGGCTGAGGCAGGAGAACCGCTCGAACCAGGGAGTTGGGAGGTTGCATCCGGAGGTTGCATCGGGAGGTTGCAGTGAGCCAAGATTGCACAACAGCACTCCAGTCTGGTGACAGATCCAGACTCCACTTCAAATATATATATAGAAAAACTTTCAAAGGGCTGGGCGCAGTGGCTCACACCTGTAATCTCAGCACTTTGGGAGGCCAAGGCCGGTGGATCATCTGAGGTCAGAAGTTCGAGACCAGTCTGGCCAAAATGACGAAACCCCCATCTCTACTAAAAAAAAATTAGCCAGGCGTGGTGGCGCACGCCTCTAATCCCCAATCCTCGGAAGGTTGAGGCAAGAGAACCACTTGACCCCAGGTGGCAGATGTTGCAATGAGCCGCAATTGCGCCACTGCATTCTAGCTTGGGCCACTGCACGCCAGCTTGGAGGGCAAGACTCCCGTCTCAAAAAAAAAAAAAAAAAAAAAATTTCAATGCCTCCACATTCCTAGGGGGTAAAATCACCTTTAGAGCTTCCTCTCTCAAGACACCAGGTCTCAACGCATGCATGTCTAGAACCTCTTACCTAGGATTGGCTAGCTCCTACTCCATCCTGCTCCCTTCCTTCTCTGGGAAGCGCTCCTTAACTGAAACCACACAACCGCAACCCCTCCAACTCCGAGCAGGCAGGTAGGTCAAGCTCCCACGTCACACACGGTCGGCTCTTTCGGCGTCAACATGACCCTGGCTTATTCCTGTCAGTTAATGCATCTGTCTGTCTCCCCAGGAGGAATATGTTCTCCATGAGGACAGAGACTGCGCAGAACTGGCCCACTGGAGTCATCAGGACTGAACAGATGGGATGTTAAAGGCGGAGCTTTTCTTTTTTTGTGTGTGAGACGGAGTCTCGCTCTGTCGCCCAGGCCGGAT